GAAATGACATTTATATGGGCAGATAATAAAACTCCTTCAATTAAAGAAAGACACACAACCATGCAGAGCTAAGAGAGCCTCGTCAGTGGTATGTTCTTCTGGCAATCGGAACGCTACAGTGGCTGCAGACTGTTCCCAAGGTGGTACTGAAGCTGCGAGGCAAGGTGCATAGTAACCTGCATTATCTGCAAAAGCCTCTTCTGAACCGCCAAACCTATATGAGATTGCGGAGAATGATTTCACTGTCACTACAACCAAAAGGATACAAAGTAAAACAAAAATAAAACCAATCATACTAGAAATTTCCATTAATAAAGCTTTGCCATCCCCTCCGACTCCTGGGAGTTATGCTTCTAACAGTTCAGAGCACAAGAAGAAGCAATTCCTCTCCCACCAGACAGAATACTCCGCCACCATCACTTCCAAGGCGACATGACGAGGCTAAACATGGAGTTTCGCTCCAAATTCCAGCCTATGGGCTTCACAACCTACAGAATAAAGTTGGCATAGCGCGTCGTATCAAGATTACCTCAAGTAGCAAAACTTCTTAAAAGAAAATAAAGTTCCATTTAATCTCATTAAGCACAACGATTCCAAGCCTTAGAGGGAGGTTACCAAAGTCATCCCTCCTACCACCCCTCCGAGAGCCATTCAGGATAAACTCCTTGCCCTCGAGTTGTTACTCAAAATGACACCCCATGACCGCATGGAGAGACAGAACGTCTCTGCCCATACACGTAATTGAGCTAGACAGCGTTCCACAGAGCCAGAAGATTTCGTAGTTGTCCCACCTGTGTTATATCAGAATCACTGTGGAACCTTGTAAGGGACGCACCGTGCCGCCTCAGTGCGCACGGTGTCAGCAATTATTTCACGTGGCGGTGTGGCGGTAGACTATCAGGTCCCTCCAGCTTAAGCCCACTGTGCAGAGCACTGTTCGTGAAAATGGGAAAAACGTTTCGAATCGAACTTCGTGCCGACTTGCGCTGGGAAAATTCGGAAATCAAGGCTCGAAGTACAGAGGTTGCCCCTATTTCCGTAACCTCCGTCTGAAAAGCTAAATACCAAAACAAATAACCGACAGCCTCCTAATATGGACAGAACGCGAAGCTCAGTTCAGCCCCTCCACCCGCAAAGACTTCCCTCCAAAACCCTCCACGACTATCTGCCTGAGTCCCGGAAACGCTTAAAGCAGGCCTCTGAATTTTGCCACTACACAACTGACACCTTTCCCTCAACTCTAGAGTTTAAATCAACGGCGTGACCTTCCGTCCAAATGTTTGTGCCTCACAGGGAAATTCCGCAGTTTTATCACGGACAAGACACGCGGATAGCCCATAAATTAAACTGCACTTGTAGCTTGCGTTCCAACCTTTCGGTGACCAATAGCTTTCAGCCTGCTGCTAGAGAGCCTGTACACTGTGAAACTGGCGTACCTTCATCCGTACAGAACACACCTGCTTCACCCCCTCCCAAAGCTACAGGGGACGAGTCACGCTGAATTCTTCGGTCGCTCCTAAGTCTCGGCGTTCTGTCCCCAAGTTGACCCTGCTATCGCGCAACATGACACAACACATCCGCGGGAGGAACAGTTCCATTCCTACTGACCAAAATTCATTGCAATCGACCGAATTTCCTGTTCCTACGGCACCGACATCTCTGCAGTTCCAGCACCCAACACATGCTAACATGCACCAGCATGGCCATCAGCCTCCCAGAGACTAGGGCACTCACACACCAAACATCAAACTACGGAAATTATTGTGTTTGGGCTTTCAACCCTAACGACTCATTTCAGTATCTTCTGCAAACAATCTCAGTCATGCTCCTGCAATTCATGCAGTATCGCTCTCCCAATCATGTTCAATAACTTCCTTGCCAGTGTCCTTGGTCTTCCTCATAATGGGCAAGTCACTCACACCATCTTATTCTGAAATGCTAGGAACATTAAGTAAAAAAAAAAAAAAAAACACGAATTTATAAATTACCTGGAAGCCAAAAACGTACCAATAGCACTAATTAGTGAGACCCACTTACAACCTTCCACAAAATTTAAATGTCCAAACTACATAACGCACCGGTCTGACAGGCTAAATCAACGGGGTGGCGGAACGGCCACTCTAATACGTCAGGATTTCAAGCACTCTGAAATTCTCGTTCCTTGCTGGCAACACACAGAGGCTACAGCTATACATTTAAACATTAATAACAAATTCATAATTTTAATTTCGGTCTACAACCTTCCAGAAAAATTACAGAACGAAATCTAGACCTCCACTGGAACTGGGCACAAAGTAACACTCGCAGGTGATTTCAACACCAGACACGAAACATGGCACTAGAGAGAATAATTCCGCTGGGCAATTTCTTCTAAATCATCATTACAAAACTAATTACACAATTTCCACTCCGTCTCAACGTATGCATTTTCCAGACAGAAATCCTTCAGGGGCTGAAATCCAAAGCTTTGCCATCGTCAGTAACTTACTCTCAAGTCACTCAGTACCTCAGTATGCACCCTAGGTCGCCTCTCCACATTCGATCACAGCCCCGTTTTACTGACAATACATGGTCCAATGGAAACAGACTTTTTCAGTATTACTTAGTAAACAATCTCAATACTGGGTGCTTAGAGGGAATTTTTCAAAAAGTGAGGTTGATGTAACGGTTAAGACCCTTACTGACACCCTCAACACAGCCACTCCTTATGCCATACCACTGTAAAGGAGAACTTTCAAATCAGTGCAAATTGCAACCTCCACTCGTATTCTCATTAAAAAAATGAATAAGCTTCAGATGCAGTGGCAAAGAACCCACAACATGACTCTTTGCCCTCTCATTAATACTTTAAAAGAGCAAATAGATTTAGCAATCAAAGAACAGTTATTGAACACCTGGCAGAAAACTTTACAAGGCTGGACACCAAAAGCACAAGACACCTGGAGGGTAACTAAAAGCTTAACAAACACTAATCCTAATATCCCAACCATTACCATTACTGGGAACACTTCAACCACAATTCAGAGAAAATTAAACACCTTTGCAGATACCTTAGAGCAAATCTACACTATAAATTTGGATGGTGATCGTACCTTTACAGTTAGGACTGAACAGGTACTGAGTTGGACTGTCAAAAAATGTTCTTTCCTCAGTTTGGTAGAAATCTCAAAGGTAAGTGAGATCTGAGACTCTCATGTTTGAAGATTTAAACCAGTGCTGTCCAAGTTCTTATGTACTCGGGCACAATTCACTGATGCCTATGGAGGTGTGGGTGCCACCACACACTACTACTACTAGTACTTCTACTACTACTACTACTAATAATAATAATAAAATTTTTCGAAATTATTTAACAGTACTCAGACGTTCAAAAATGTCTCGTCTTACAATCTGAATTAATATTAAAAATCGGCTCAATTATATGTGGTTACGGAGGGCGCCAGAAAAATATACCACAGGCGCCATGGCACCCGTGGGTGCCGCGTTGGACAGGGCTGATTTAAACCATTCAGTAACATCTAGTGACCCTTTTGCATATCAAATTTGAAGAATGTGTCCATTAGTTTAGGTGCTGATATTAGGCAGATGGATTGATATGACTTACACTGTAATGAATGCCAAACAATTTGTTACTTTACTGAACCCATAAGACTGAGGCTGGTGTAAGCATACTTTCGGTGTCTTTAAAGGAACTATGATCACGAGATCCAAAGAAGTGAAAACCAGATCAATTATGGTAGAATCTTCTAAGAAAGGCTATGGCTGAAAAAGGGCTGTTTTGCCAATGATGATTATTATTATTTCTCATAATGACCCAAGGCTCATACTTGCCATATTCATTTTAACTGTTTTTGTTTCAATACCTAAAAAAAAATTGAACCTCATTTCTCACTCAGACCGCATAAATTGTAGTTTTACAACTTTTCTGTATTTATTTTAAATGATATCAGCAAACCCATTCCTGGAATTCATGGAAAAGTCCACTTAAAGCCTATGTAAACCAAGCGTTATTATGGATGCCTAGATACTGACAGCACTGGTAGCAAGTATTAAGATTGAAGAATTCTATCTTCTGGGATATAACACTTGCAGTCAGTGAAAATCATCCTATGTTTCAGAGGAATATCACCTCTACCATCAGTGTTGAACATTAAGCTAAGAAAGAAACTAGCATGAAGCAGGCAGGAAGCAATATTAAGATTGCCTTCTGGCATGTGATGAGTACTGACATCTGCAATGAAGATGGAGTCAATAGGTTCCTCCAAACTGCTGGAACTTGTCTATCAAACCACAGGGCATCATATCTCAGATTACTGTAATAATGACCTCAAAAATCGAAATAATATTATGAAACTCCAAGCAGAATACTTGCTGGTTAGACAGAAAATGTGAATACAAATTATTATCCTTCAAGGAATTATGCATTTATAATCATTTTCAAAGGAACACAAATACATTCTTCCCTGGCGTATGGTACCTCCCACAGGAAACTTGGTAGAGTTATAAGAAAAAGGACACATTCAAACAATGAGCTGTTTATTAATGATTATAACATTTTATTGATTACATTAACCAATCTCCAAAAAAATAAAATATTTGCTTTAGCAGATAAACACACCACAAACTGAATGTCATAGTTGAGTAGAAACCACTTCTGCCTCATATTTTGGAGGTCACAGGCTCAGTTCTCAGTTCTCAGTTCTAAGGTCAGCTACTCTGAAGTTGTCACGGTTCTCCTTGGTCCCTCATAGTAGCTGGTGGGGTATTACTCATAAATAGACCACAATTCCTTCCATTTCCTTTTCAAAGTACCATTTGACACTGCATAACCTATGTATGTGAAAGTCCATAATTAAATAACTCAATAACAGATCAATTATATTTGAATATAAAATGCTAAGTCTTACCATCTGCTCCTCAGAAAATTGTGCCCATAAATACTGCAGTCCAGTTCCCTCTTGAGGTAACTTCAAATTATGCAAATGTCTCCTGCTTTGCAGATTTGGCGATACACATCTAGGCGCATTGCCATGGCAAGCGGAAAGACTGTGCCACCAAGGAGAGGTGAGATGCTGGACCGTGAAACAGGGGAGCCAGTGCAAAACTGGTCCAATCAACATGCTCAGACTACGTGCATGACCAATGCCGAGACTGGAGAAGTGGAACAGACCCCAAGCTCCAACATTCACTCTGACAGGCGAAGGCCCTTCCAGGTACCCAAGAAAGCTCTCCACAACTACCAAATGAAACATCGAGCAGACCACAGTAACAAAATGTTAGAACTAGTGAACATATTCAATGACAGTAACACCACGTCTGAATATTATTATGCAGTGGGCATTGAACAGAAGTTCTTGAATGATACCTACAACATTAGTCCTGTTGTTTTATTATTGCCCACACTTTTCCTCTTTCCCTCCCCAGCGTGGCTCACCGTATTCAGCATTTTCATCGAGCTGTGCCTCCACATGTGGACCCACAAAACCAACAAATACTGCAAGGACTCCCGCCTGAGGTACCGGTCTCCTCTGCACGTCCTCTCTTCCCAGTTCTGTGCACTGTGTAAGTCTAGAAGAAACGCACAGAAGATCAGCAGGTTACAAGATGCCAGGGCACTGAAGGTGTACAGCAGAAAGCCTAAGTATTGTACCTATGTTGAAAGAGTAAGTGTAGTGACATGACAAACAGTATCACATTCATCCAAGTATTGGTTTTTTCTTTTCCATGCTCTCATTATGAAAAGTTAGAAACACATGGTTATGTTACTGCATGGAAGGTAATGACATTGTGAAATAAGATACAGCTATCATAAAGTATACAGAGTTTGGTATCAAAGAGCAGATTACATCAAACTCTAATACTGCCTGTGTGAAAACTGATATTTGAACTGAAATGCACAACTTTCAGCTGGCATACAGTTGTTTCGATGAAAGAATAAAGATTTGATTTCTAATTACAACTCCTTCTCATTTCTAATCTGTGTGAATAATAAGTGCTTATAAGACAATCCTACACAACCTCTGTAGTTGAAACAGGATCATTAAAATACTGAGAATGAATTAATAATTGAATGGATAAAAGTGTTTGTGTTATGCATGTAATTTTTGTGTAAAATCAACAAAAGTGGTACTTGGGATATGGCAGAACAGAAACTGATGACCAAAAATAAAAACTTGCTACATTTTACCAGTAAATAAAAGGAATAAATCAGCTATAACGTCCTGAAAAGAAAATCTAGACATGTACTACATTAAATGAATACACAGACATTTCAAACATGCTCTGATATAAATATTTTATGAATCAGTCAAAGAAGCTTCCAGTTTGAAGGGCACTGAAATGCCAAGCAGACACTTCATTTTTAATAACTTCCAAAAGCTATACACAAGAAAATGGCTTGAAAACAAACTTGGGATTCAAAAGTCTTTTCTGTGGTATTTCTTACACATTACAGATCATGTGTGTCAAAGGAAACAAAAACTTAGTATAAAATAGAACTACAAATAGTACATGGAGGAAAGGCGAAAGAAATGCAGATTATGATTACAGAAGTACAGAAAACCTAATTAATTACCTACATGTAACAATATCACAAAAAAACACAGAATACCAAGGAACAATGGTGTAAGTTCCCTCACTTCCAATTGTATCAAGTGTGCAGGCAACTTGTAGCAATACTCAGTTTATGACTGAGGCATCATATGATACAAAATATTTTTCAATTGCAGGGTCACCAAACCTCACTTGTCAGTCACTGAGTTGTTGCTGCTGATACAACAGCTGAGACATTTACAAGACTGCAGATTACATTTTTCATAGTACTTACTGCAAACACTAGATAGGACATACACACTCACGTTCATCCCTGTCACAAAGATCATGTAATATTTGAATATAATACAGTGTTTATGTGTTTTCAGACTGTAACAAAACAAGTGGGACAGCAGCTGACACAGTTCAGTAGCAACTGAACTGTGGTTATGCCACTATGTGTCTTCTTGCTTTATCTTATATATGACTAAGAATTCAGAAGTTTTATACCTTGTCCAAAAAAGCAGAAAATAAATCAAATAAATTAAGATATAATACAGAACTATGCATCAGACTTACCATTTTCCTGACAGCCTTAATGTTATTATTGTGAAAAGTAATTGTTTACAGAAGGATATTATCAAAATGGATCTTTAAAGAAACAGGATGAGAGGATGTGGGCTAACTCCATGTCTCAGAACAGGATCCAGTGGTAGACACCTATGGTCTCAGTAGTGAACCCTTGGGTTCCATAAGAGGCCTGGAATTTCTTGACAAGCTGATTCACTATTAACTCTTCAAGAAGGACCCTGTTGCATGAAATTGTGTTTATGAAAAGTAGAAACTTCTGTCTCAGTAGATAAACAAGATACACAGACTATAGGACAATTTCATAATCAGTGTTAAACTTATTCTCATACGTGAAGTGTTCATAGTAGTGAAGGTTCAGGTTGTGGTATTTTGGGTTATGATACCAGGTAGTCTGGTAGCCAGTTACCTGTGTCTCAAAGGAACATACTATGTCTTCAGGATACAAGTTACTTCTGTTCTGAAGATGGAGACAGTATGTTTCACCAAAGCAATCCATAAGACCAGAACTGGAAAGCTAAACTTTCCTTCACAAGATACTTTGGGAACATATATTAGAGACAAAACTGGGATCAGCAATTAGAAAGAACAAATGATTACATGATACCACCAGAGACTGCAATGAAATGTGATTCAAAAGGAAAGAGATTTTGGATGCCAAAAATGAGGCTTAACAGTGCATGGGTTATTGTTTTTCACATCTCACTCCAGGCCTCCTTCCAAATTCTTATCTAATCACAATTTGTCTTTTCACTCATTGACCTATAACCTCATCATTTGAAACAGTGTTATTAAATACCAGAATCAGTGACTGAATCAGATTATACAGAATATACTGTCGCGTATTGGGCGTATATCGCGACAAATAAATTCACGCCGTATTTGATGTAGCGAATTTTATTTCACATTCGCACTTACAATCACCCAAATTACAGATTTACGATTACTGCTATCTGCAGTATCACAATTAGTACACTCCAAATGCCAGAATACAACTGACTAGTTGCTGGCTAACTCGGAGGTAGCTCGAGGACTGACTCGTAGGTAGCTCCAGGACTGGCTCGTAGGTAGCTCCAGGACTGACTGTGAATAGCCTTCGCTGCTCCTCATGTAGCCTCAATCGGACAATACAGAAAACGGCCACGTAATATGCACCCTTGTTGCCTGGCTCTGTGTTGCTAGCAACGCTAGCGGTAGTAACCGCTGTTCCTACCGTCGTCTCTCGCAATCCTGTTGCGTCACCGTTACGTTACCGTTCGGAGGAGGGGGAGGGGAGCGCTGACTCACCCGCCGTGTCACTGCTAGTGGGGGGGTTCTCCTTTGCGCAACATGTCACAATACCTATTTTTGAACATGATCTGCTTCAAAACCTTAATTATTACAATTTTCAGAAACCAGGAATAGAGTGCATAAATCTGAAGAAATTTTAGTGAACATCCAACAAATAAACTAAAGTTCAGAGTAGGGGAATGGTTTATGCAGCAAGTCTCACCATCATTTCCTGAAACAAATGTGTTTTATGACAATACTTTATTAAGTAGCTTTGGAGGCTTCATTCCTATTGGCAACTTCTCAGAAGTTGACAGGAACAAAAGGACAGTTCTGGAGATCATCTGCATGTAACAGTGGTTGTGCTTTCATATGCCTCATCACAAAATGAGCAGCCAGTTTTTGTGAGTTAGGATTGCCAGTCCTAATGTGCAGAGATAACTTTCATGTGTATATGCATATGCTACACCAGTCCAGACCCATTCAAACATGTTCCAGAGACTTTAATCACAGTTTTTAACTCCCCCTCCATCCACACGCAGATTTACAGAAGGTTAGAACTCTGGTGGTTTCGATTAGTGAGGTCATCTCCTCCCCCTCAAAATGTGCACAGAATTTAAATGTATTCGTTAATGTACACAATGGGGCAACAAATAGCACATATTTTCTTACACAAATACATAACTTCCTTCTTGCTAAGAAAACTACAGACCAAGTTTTTAGCTAAACTGAAAGACTTTTAATCTAGATCAAGTTCACAGCATTCAGAATTTCTTAATGTTTTCCACTTGCTGAAACATGGTTTTAGGTACAGCATATTAAGTCAATGGCTCTGGCTCCTATAATGGCCAGTGATAATTCTGGTCCATCAAGGACTTCTCCAATACAGTTCAAGTCTGAAGACAGAACAGTGAGTGTATACAGTTTGCCAAAGGGCAACTTCCTGGCACTCTGCACGACACTCTGAAAATGAAGATGCCTCCTTTTTTACTTCCTTAGACAAATATAGCAAACAAAGTTCCCAGTGAAACAGGTGAAGGAAGGGAGTGAATAACTGCAGGATTTCACATAGGGATTCATTCTTATGATCTTCTGTTTCCAAGTATAATTTACTTTTATTTTCCACTGTCTTAAATACAAAGAAAGAAGGAGAACATCACCATCTGTCAATGTACAAAGAAGTCAAATGTTAATATTACACTTCCATACATAAATAATACGTACATATAAGAATTCCAAGCAAGGCACCTTACTGCGGTGGATCGAGTGAATATAAAACATGAAATATATTTTAAATATTTTTTCCCTTCATAAATTTTTAATTTTGTTCCATTAGAACAGAAACTGAACACAAATTTGTGCTGTATAAAAATTTTATCTATGCACAGATACATTCCCCACATAATTTATATATAAAAGAAACAGATACATGACTAAAAACAAGTAATCTGTCTAAAGGAGTCAAAAGATAATTACACGATTTTCACGGCCATGTGTTCTTTGCACAATGTACATAAAACATACGACAATAGGTGATCATACCTATTTGTCTATATTTTATTCAAAAATGCTGGGTGAATTTTGATAAAATTTGATATTTCACATCCTTCCAAAAATTCATGGGACCATTTCAGTTTCTGTAAAGACTGACGTTATGGAAACATTCCTTCATAACTGAGAATTATGCAAATAACTTCTGTGGGAAGCCTGCATAGACAAGCACAGATAACGTCTTTCCAACTGTGTTTCATGCAGGAAGAAACACTATGGTCCATCTTATCACTGTGTCTGTCCCTCCCTGATAACAACTGAATGAATCAACTGACAAATCTTCACGAAACTTGATATGACCATCACACCACCTGAAGTCAATTACCTGTGTACTTTTTAATTTCCTGACATCAATAATACCAACCTGGTGGCTATGTGGACTTCCCAAGGTGGAGTGACTGTGGTGTCCCTTATTATATGGTCCAAGAATTTATGTGGAAAGAAATCTTAAAATGGTACACATCTTTTTCAAAAAATGTAACAACATGGCAGCCATACAAAATCCAAATTCAGCTTTCAGTCTGACAATGATAAAAACTGCAGTATCTGAGAGAATGTAGGCTTCACTATAGTTAGTACCTTGTAACTTTAGCTACGCGAAAAGGTAAACGCTGTTGTGGAGCACGGGAAGCTGTATGCTTGCTGTGGTGACGTTCAGAGCTACTCCCCCGAGTGGAAAACATTGCCTATGGAGACCAACTAACAAGCAACACAACGTACTATACAACTGACCACACTCCAAGAAGCTACATTCCAAACTGGTAGTACCCATGCTGATGTAAGCTGATAAGACTGCCGCTCCAGCTCCGCGAGAGATAGTATGACCCCTCTACCACAGCTAGAGTTCCGAGGAACTAACAGTACTTCCAGTTGCAGTGCTTACTCTTGTTAGTCTACTACACCCAGTACTCTGATACATATGAATTACTTCTTCCAAGTCTGATGAAATCCTGTCTACAACATACAGAAACTGTACATGCAATTTTAACAAACCAGAAACCAGTGGCCAATAAGAAATGAGGAAACATTAGGAAATGCATTTCTGTAGTGCGATGATTCTATGAATTATCAATGTAAACATATAAGTTAGAGGCAAACACAAAGAAATGTACTTAAATGTAATGAATTATGGGTTGTAAGAAGTACTTTTCACTCTCCATTCAATGATCTATAAACATTTCTCATTAACACAAAATTCAGGATTAACAATAATTTGATACAACAAATAGACATAAAATTTCAATGAAATCTCTCATTACAGAATAAAACTTCAATGTTTAAGCCTCCACAGTCATGAGGTTTCCTTGCTTCATACACATAATCATTGTAATGAGTTAAAAAGTTTTCAACATAATTTGTGAAATTAAATTCTGAAAAGTATCATCTTCCGGGATGCTATTCCATGCAGAATGGTGGATATTTACTGGTATCTTGGAGGAACACATTGCCTCCATCTTCAGGGTAATTCAAGAAAGTAATCAAGCAAACACATACTGCACTTGCTGTTTGCCCAACTTACTCTGAAGATGGAGGCAGTATGTTCCTCTGAAATGTCAATAAATGTATACTAGACTACACAATCATGAAATCAAAGTAGATAACATTTTTCAGTCATTGCCGTGAAAGCCCAAAATCTCAACATATGATTCTGAACATACATGACACAGAGGTGTCTGGTCTGAATTTTGGACAGGACACTGGCTATCTTGAGCATCTTGAGTTTCTAAGTGATTTTCCTCAGTCCCTCCAGGTAAATGCTGGGACAGCATCACAATTAGGCCACATCTGTTTCCTTCCAAATCCTTTCCAATTCGTCACTGATCTGTCATCTTACATTTAACACTATATAGTCTAGTTGTGGACAACATTTTAAAATAAGTCACAAAAAGAAAAGGACCTTCTGCCTATGTCAGACAGTCTGCACATTCATGTCCAGTGTCAGACTCTACACAGTTCTGAAAATGAAAATAAACTGCACATAGTCAGGTGTCATGCTAAAAGATAAGGTCCTCAGAGAGTCAAGTATCTGGAAGTAAGAGAATTGCAGGCTATTACAGCACATATGGATACATTTTGAAAGGTCAGTACTGAAGAATTTACAAATGGCACACAGTTTTCAGAATATCACCAACTGTGGGCCAAATTAATAGTACAAAACATTCACAAATCTTATCATTACCTTTTCATCAAACTTCTTAAAACTGTAAATGCCTTTACACTGCAGATCAAGTTATGCTGTATATGTAAAATAACTGTTGAACATAAATCACTTGAAAAGTAGTAGGCAAATGCTGCCACATGGTAAGGCCAGGAACGATAATTTATTTAAGCTGGAAAGGAGTAAATTCTACTACGGATGAATTATGTAGAAGGAAACTAATTTTTAGACGACTGCATGTAAAAACTAAAATTCATACTACTGGACATACTTTAATAAGTCCCTTCAGCTTGTCAGAACCAAGAGAGTGAATTTTCATTCAATGAACACAATGGAGTCTTAAAAGCAGAAGCATGAAGGAGATGGAGCAGGTTTAATCACAGGTAATGATGCTGTCCAGTCTACAGTCCAGCATTAAGAACAGAGTACAGAGATTATATCCTACTTTATTCAATGGCATCATTTGCATGAAGTCAAAGTTTCTGTTTTCCCACATGGGCCAGTAATATAAACAGACATATTCCTCTTCTGGATTTCTGAAGTCCTGATCATTGAACATGCCAGCCTTCCTATGGCTGCCACCCCAGAAAATGGTCAGACCAAAAGATTATAAACAGATGTGCAATATTATTATTATTAATGTGGTCAAAATGTGTGCAACATCCATCAGTGTATCTTCCAATCGGTATTGTGCCCAGGCCACAGACAGTGTTATACACTGTTTTCAAGCAATACCCTCTTTTAAACAATGGATACAGATTCCCAGTTCAGGTTTATTTGGCAGTATACTGTATCTTTCGACAGCAGAACTGATCCGCATAATAATAATGGCATGTGGTTAGCCGGCTTTCAATGCTGACTTGGAGAGATGTATCACATTTACCTGAATACAAGACAAGATTCCTACTCCTAATTTAGCGCCTATCAAGGTGCCACCTGATAAAAATGAAGTAAAATACTGATACTTTACAAGAATGTCTCCAGTAATACATAGTCTTCAATGCTTAACACCATTGCAACAATGTTAAGTTTTAACTAGATGTATTTGTTTTGGAATTATGTTAAATAATGACTGCAGAAAAATTATTTGAAAATAAAACCAGAAAGCAAATTTTTTGCATGAACTTAAATTTTGAAAAGACAGTCTATCTTACATTCATTAAAATATGATATTTTGAAATGTCATGTTTGCAATTTCATTTCACCTGCTTGCTTACGATTAACATTTGTAAAGCATGCACCAATATATGTACACAGTAAGACACTAAGGCTTCATGTGAACTTCATATCAGTGCACTGTTGCATCACTCAGGTTCCACAGCAAACATACATACCGTTATGTCACAGCAGTAAATTTCAGTTGCTTCTTTACTACTAACAGTGCGAGATACGGAACTTCACCTGAGGTGCAGTATTTCCTTGGCTGCCACTTTACATATCAAATTGAAATTGGACTTAAGATGGGCTCGCCAAAAACGACATCGACCCCACACTTGAGCTGGGAAGCACGGGCTAGGAATCCCATGGAAAATTCTAGCAACAGCTCGGCCAGTAAAGTTGGTGTCACGATACATACATACCAGGCTGCGTACATCTGCTACCACCTGCTCTTCATTTATCAGCTTTTCCTGCAAACAAAATATAAGTATTACCTTCCTTTTGACATTGATATTGCTACAACTGCACAAGTTTGCTCCATGTTCACAAGAGATCACTAAAAATAGTGAAATTTGCAAATAAGGTCATAGACTCTTACCAGTCCTGTATGCACTGTATATGGAGTAGTACAAAAGCAACCCCCATGTTTCTAGTTCTAATGGTTTTACAGATGTCCTAGTTTTGCCTTACTTAATCATATATTTTCCTCAAAGACAATGGGTCAGTTTTTAATTTATAATATATTCATAATATGTGATAAAAACAATCTCATATTTGCAAAACACAAAACTTTCAGAAAGGCAGTGTGCAGAGATTGCACCACAGATAAACCTTTCCACCGCGGCGGCCCAGGTTCGATCCCGGGTCTGGTCAAGTGGGATTTGTGGTGGACAAAGTGGCGCTGGGGAGGGTGTTGTCTGAGTACTTCAGTTTCCCCTGCCAATCTTCATTCCACCAAGTTCTCCATCATCATAATCACCCGGGGCAGGCTACAATAGGTCAATCAGTGGCCGCCGCGCCGAGTGGACCCAATTGGACTCCACCCGCCACTAAGCGAATTAAAAAAAAAAACACATGCTGCCACTGCAACTGTCTGGTTCAATGTTTGTAGCCAATGGTTAAAGTTTACTTACAGGAGTTACTGGTACTTCATATACAATAAATAACCATAAATGCAGAAAATAAGGGCCTTGATTTCAGAGTTCTCCATGCCATAAAGTTGTCTTCCCCATCTACGCTGTTGTGAGACATACTTTATCTAGCACAATTTTTATCTGTCTGGAATGGGGGGCTCTGTCAGTAACTACACACCAGACAGTTTAGCTATCGGGGCACTCCTCTGTACCATGAACAGGTAGTGTTTCACACAGACAATTATAAGCACTGACAATATGGAATTTTGATGTTGGGCAAATTTAATGTAATCAGAATCAGTACTAGTGGGATAGAAATGCACCATTAAGGTGTAAATTATTAACGTATACTTCCTGCTAGATTTACCTACAAACTGAAGTACAGGTATCTGAACGAAATTAGGTGTCATTAAGTTCTACCTAGAACATATCTGACGACAAATTACTGATTATTGATGAATGAATGAATTATACAGCATGAGTGATGTCTTAGCTTATTTATAGCAGAACCTTGAAATTTAGGCATTTGTAAAATTCCTAAGAACACTGCCTGCCAATGGACACTTTTAATACCCGAAAATGGTTGAAGTACGTAATTGCAAGTCCCTCTCCTAACATCCAATTACATAACAAAATATGGAACTAAGTAATGTGTGTATGACAATATTTCTTCTTTGAAACTATTATTGTCAAGATATGAAAATAATGAAGAATAATTGAGCATTCCCATTATCACTGACATGATCAGAACTGAAGAGTTGAAGGTTTCCTTACCTTTCCATAATCTCTTCTGCTTGCAATCAACTGCTGATTATAAGTATCAACTTTGTGATGTTACACTGATGTTTGTGAATCAGCCATTATGCCTTCTCTTAGACAAGAGTAGAGGGAATAGGTAGGTTAATCAGAGCATTATGGGCTGCCAGACATAAATAACTTAAGGAAGCAAACCTGCAAGTTAAGTTGGTACAAGAAGTTACAGGAAAACAGTGGTGGCTAGTTAGGAATCAATCACTGTGACAAATGTGCTGGAAAAAAGCCTTAATTTAATGTGATGATTTTCCATTTGTACAACATTAAGAAAATTACAGTTCAAACAGCTTCTGTTGCTATAATGAAACTGTATGTTTGTTCCCTTGTTTATTTTAGAATGTATCAAATGCAGGGAGAATATGTCAGGTTCCCTCCAAATGAAAGTGATTATTATTACCTCCTCTGTTTCTGCTTCCACATTGCTATGCTCTTGCTCAAAATATTCTCGTATCATAATCTTCAAGTTTTCATTACGATCCTTATCTACTTCATCTCTGCATTCAAAGCAATCCACATATGATACACTGAAAAATAAAACAATTTAAAATCTCAATTCCTATACCAAAGTTCAGAAAGAAATGTCAGTATCTATAGCCACTATCATATATTAGTTTAAATCTGTAAATAATTTTCGTGGGGAAGTAAAGTGCGGCCAGTGCGTGAGGCTGACAACCTTACCACTATCTATGAGCCGATAGTCTAGATAATGTGGGACCCTCAATGTCTCACAACCTTATGGGCCTTCACGGCCTGGTACAGGGATAGCTTTACTTTTTACTTTACTTTATAGATTCATATGGAATTAAAACTGTCTTAAAATTAAAGAGGAGAGGGCATGATAAGACATTTCCATCAGGCAGTATTAATTTTATTACCCTCCACAGTTATGCTGAAAAATAGAAAAGAAATACCAAATCTTCCATACTGAAGAAACACAACATAAATGATACAACATCAAATATACCAGGCACTCTATAGCGGTACTCTACCAATATTAACAAATACTGTACATCTTAAATTCCTTGTATAGGCCACTCTTTAATAACTTAGATTCTGAAGAACCCATTGGACATTTGCATAATGTGGTATGCACATCATGATTCTTCCACACACAGCAAACAGCACAGTTATATTTGCTGTGGCTACCATTACACCTGAAACTCAAGGTAATGTTAACTGCATAATGACAGCCAACAATTTGCACCATCTAACCAATGATAAGTTTAAGAAAGGTGACCCAGAACGATCACTTTTCCTACCATTACATCTGAAATTCAATATTTCGTTAAGTGCACAATGGTACTCAACAGTTTTCCTCTACTACGAAAATCACAAGTTCAAGAAAGGCAGCCCAGAACACACTGTTTGCTCTATGACAAGAATTCTTCACACACACAGCAAACGGAACTCACTTTTCCTGCAGAACACTTCAGCACAGCTACTGATGACTGAGCCTACAGCATAGGCCTGGCACCACGAGACTTTTTGATTCCAACAACAAAGGTTTTCTGTTACCCATTTTCAAGCTTTGTATAACAACAGAAGCTTGCAGTAGCACCACAAAGTGAGCTGCACTTCTGCTTCCACAGTTATGACCAAGGAAGTTGAAACATTGGAAAGATTTATGTATGTATTTAAGAAAAAGTGTAACTGTCAAAATAAAGACATCACTGTTAATAAGAACTAAACATTTGTGATCATGGTATATTATTATAACTGTTGTTTTTGGACATTATCCATCTTCCTGTTTTTATAGGAGCCTACTCAGTTGGGCCCAATCGATAGACCTAGTCCCTATTTCCAGATATCAGCAACAACACAAGATATTTAAACCAAGCACAGCACAGCAAACCTGGAAGCAATGGAGAGCTCTTTTAAACATAATTTTCTTAAGCAATAGGAGATCCAGATTAAAAAATTCTCAGCTCTGAAAGATCTCCACCAGACCACTGTGAGCCTATTCTGATAGTACTCTGATTTTAACAACAGCCATTAAATAATGCATGGATATAGGTACTAGGCCCCATGTGTGTGGAGTTTTTAATGTTTTTTAATGTTTGTCTTAACTCCCATAGATGGCTTGTGCTGTGCTTGGTTTATATACCCTATCTTGTATTTGTGCTGGTGTCTTAAGAGAGGGACTAGCTCTATTAATTGAGCCCAAGTGAGTAGGTTCCACCTGAAGATGAAGACAGAATCCAGTCTCTGAAATGTTGTTTTAAATAAATAAAAACAGGAAGATGGATAATGTCCAGAAACACAATAACTGTACATTGTTGTTAGATTTGCTGTGCCTTAACACTTTATCAGCTCTCTACTGCAGTTCTTGCTAGCCTCACCATATACACTGATGTGAATGAAGGAAAGATGTCACAAGTTCTTCCTAGAATTTTTGTCACTTCTGATAAAGATCCAAGAAAGAGAGACTAGCATGTCCTCACCTGGTGAGCATTTTAAACATTGTCTTCAGCTGTTGCAATGAACATTTCTCCAGATTCTTTACATGCCCGTGTAACGTGTCCAACGCCACATCTAGTTCTGATGGACAAAGGTTGCCTGGTGCCAGTACACGGAAGCCCAACTCATACAGCTCCACCGAGATTCCTGTGCGACGCCACATGTCATTCACTGCAATCGACAAAATATGCTTCCAAATTCTCATCTGTTTCACAGTTGTGCACAGTACAGCACATGATAAATAAAAAATATTTGAACGCTAGAATCTGTTTTGATAAGAGGTACACTGACAGCAGTATTTAATGAAACTCTGAGAGGATGTCTTTTGTTATAGCACATCAAGGTTTTCACTAAATGAGGATTATGCAAAATTATATCAAGAAACTGTTCATTTTCATGTCAGATTTACTGCATATAATTACAAAGAAACAATGTCTACATCAGTGGTTAAGGAAACTGTTTCTACATGCAAATAAATGCAACTACATAATTAACATCATCAAATTACCTTCTAAAATAATTACTGACATATGAAATAAACATAGTGATTGTGTAAGGATGATGTCCAGCAGGCACAAATGTGAATAGTGATTGTTGGTATGGCGACAACAGGTTCCTCTGAAACATCGGTTAACTTTCAACAGACTACACAGCATTATAGCCCAGGATATAGAATTCTTCATAACCACTGCTGTGAGAACCTCAAATCCTATATGTTTAGAATATGAATAGGAATAGTCAAAACGTGAACCTGTGGTGCATGCTGACAAATTAAAACATCATTGGTGTGTTTTCCTTTGATGAGGACATGGATTACAAGCAATTAATTCCTACACATCAGAAAATTATGCTCTTCCATAGCTCAACAACAGCAATCATATTCTTCAACTGGATTGTGCACCTATTCATTTTGTTCACACAGTTTGTAACTGTTTGAAAGTAATTTCTTACGTTAGTGAATAGAAAGAGGACCAACTGCATGGCTCCCTTGTTCTAATTTCAAGCCTATGGAATTTTTTTCTTTGGGAGTACTTGAAGGACCAGGTGTAGAGCCAATATGCTGGATGAACTCAAAGCATAGATCATTGCAGCAACTGCAGATGTTACAAAGGACATGCTACAGACATCCGACAGAGGTAGACTATAGGTAAGATGTACGCAGAGCTACAGATGGCACTCAGTGAAATGTTTCACACCTAAAAAAACACAGTTTCAATTTATGAATAAAATATTGCAAACACTACTCTCATATCTGTTTTTGTTCCTAAGCTACAAAAGCCTAAAATCCTGGTATTCTTATTGGTAGACACTCTACATGGGACAATAGTAGTGTCAAGTGCATGAATGACTCTCGACAGAGTGTTGGATAATCAGATTTAATGACCACTTACAGATCATAACTAAAGTAATTATAACAGTCTCAATGAGTTATACACTCCAAATATCACTGTTAACTACAGCACACATAGTCTTCCCTGTCCTTACTATACATTTCCTGGTAACGGATTTTAACACTGCCCATTTACATCCTTACAGTCTGGCACATATCCCACAGCTGAACTCAAGTCTTCACTTCATCCCAATGATAACGCCTCAACACGGACCAACGAAGAAAACGCAGTTTCAGTTCTCTATTATTCTGTGTCGATTTGCTGCTATGGAGACATGTTTGTTTGTGACCGTTACCCAGTAATGATCTACAGTATTATGGTATTAAGGCAGTATCATTATCAGTATACAGAAACATTAATTTTGTTTTGTACCTTGCACACTAATTATATTCTACTGATTTGTTATGCATCATGTTCTATATATAGCTCAGAATGTTAGATGCCAACGTCTCACAGTGGAGGATGAAGTTCAGTCCCAGGACAATAGATGCTGGAGTTATGGTGAGCAAAGTGGCATATGGCATGGAGACTGATTGTTCCAAAAGTACTTTGATTTTCCAATGGCAATCATCATTTCATCAAAGCTCCATACTCATCTATTGCCTGCCATGAATTACATTGCAAATTCAATCAACCATCACCATGTCCTCTATCAGGGTTTTACCCCTGAGTAGGTATTTCAGTGTACCTGCAGCAATGCAGTTACTATTTATATGCCAACAAACAAAACTTTATAACATTCACCTTTGCTCCACTCAAGATTCTTGAGGTGCTGTTTAACAGTGCCACTGTCCCAGCCAATGGCTGATGCAATTTCCACAACAGGAAACTCTATCTTGCTGCTGCCGTTGTGTGAGATTCCACGCTTCTGATCAAGTGCAATGGCCATTGCCAGGGGAGGACTCTATAAATATAAAGTAAGTGAACACATTCCTCAAGATGTAGAGAGATAACATTAAATGAACTGGAAGAGTGCACATCACAGGCAAAAAAAGGTACATACGTGCTGTATTTAATTCAGCATAACATGAAGACAAATAGGAGAGGTGAGGTACAGCTCCAAGAATTGTTGTTTTCAAAACTAGATCATAAAAACAATTGAATTTTTACAGTTTTGTATTTTATATTCACCTGAAGGTATCACTAATATGAAATACAAAACATGAAAAGAAAGTATTTTTAAATGCCACAACTCTTATCTGAAACATTTTTTTCATTACAACGTCAATATTTAAGAAATATACAGTTGGAATTTTCTACTTCTCCTAAGAAACCTTCAACTAAGACTACCATATACTGGACTTGAACCACTGAAGAGAAAATTCCAAAACACATACATAGACTGAACAAACAAATAAAGTTTCTATAATATTCTACAGTCTGGAAACCAAGATATGGAGCAGATTACATCCCATACACAAAGCAGGAGAATTATACACAATGCTGTAGCATTTCGTTCACTAAATCAAGATGATCATAGAAATAAGAATGCAAGTCACTTAGTAATGTTATGGTGATGAAATCACGTAGGTTATGATGAGTTAGACTGAAAGGGAGAGATAGGAAATGCACTAGCAATTCAGATGGACAGATCTCCAGGAAAGTGTTCACTTGGAAGACCAAGAAAGAGATTGGGGTGGAGGACAAGAACATCAAAAGAATGACAATGACATATTAAAAGAAAGATGATGGAAACAACACGCTGAATCATGAGAACAGGGGTTTTAATGATTGGAGGTGGAGGGGATGAGTTCACAATTGTGTCAATGACGAGCTCTGGTTTTAACAGCACTGGCTCTTTGGGTTCTGCTACCAAAGAGTTAGGTATCTTTTAGTCCACTGTGCTTACCAGTTTGGCTGCAGCCTTTAGGGCTCTTGGTCCTTTGTAGCTCACAACTTTGCACATGGTATATACTAGAGGCATAACCTTAATCCACTGCTTGCAATGGAGTTCCAGGTAACAAAGCATTGTAGATATATTCTCTTGAGGCAGATCCAATGTCTTCACTGTCTCATCTACTGAAAATGCCACCTCATGACCAGGGCAATTAACTCGGTTTTGAACAGGACTTCCTTTGCTCCCATGATGTTCCTCTTCATTCAAAGGTTCCTCTATACCATTTCTTACTTGTATAGCTGACTCCTTCCCTGCAAAATCCTCATCAAAGTCCACGCCCTCAAACAACTGTGCAATCCGCACACATTTGCAGGGAACAAATACTCTCTGCAGGAGTTTGCGAATTATGTGATGATCAACAGAATTGCCATAGATATGACGACGAAGTTCATTTAAATCTCCACCATCGGAGTCAAGGAAAAGATGGCAGTGTGCTGGCAGACCATTACGTCCAGCACGGCCAACCTCCTGTACATAGCACTCAAAGTTAAGTGGCATGTTGTAGTGGATCACAGCTTGTATATCCTGCTTATTTATTCCCATACCAAACGCCACTGTAGCCACTACAATACGAAGTTTACCTGCAACAAGAGGAATACTCCATAAAATCAGACAATGATAACAATTTTACATGAAGATCCATGTGAATTTTAAAACATACCTTCACAAGTATTTCACTACATGCTCCTCTGAATGAATACTGTCTCAAATGAAATTTATAGCAAATACATAACTGGATACACCTTTCATTTATGTCAAATATATTTCTTCCATAAAATGCATGCTTAATAAATGTGGGGTTGATCACAGGAATTGCATGTGCATGGTAGTACACCACCATTTTCATAACACAAATAACTTTGTCAGGTTTGATGCGATATATAACACAGCATTGCAAGAGAAATCTTTATAAATGAACTTTGTACAGCTTCCTTCAGTTTCTCTGTTGATCTGTGTTGAAGTGTGGATATAAAACGGTGGAACAGTGACATTTTCTTTTATCAACTTCAATGTTTTGACCCTTTATATGTTCTTGCAGGCCAGTGATTTCATGCTGGCAAAGTGCTGAACGTGACCAAGCACCATGTCAGGCAAAACCTCATTCAGATACTCTGGAAGAGGAACTGATGCCACATCTTCTTGGAACCACATATCCTGAACATTCACACTTCAACTGTGGCACAAGCCATTCTTGAAACAATGTCATATACTTGGGTCTGGACAATAAAACACATCCCCAAAATGTACCATGGTACGCAGTGACTTGTTCTTCAAGGTATTACTCCCCATGTAAACTTTTCTGTCCCTTGCACATCAACAAATGGCACATTCAACTTTAACACACCCAGACACATAAAACTAAGGTATAACAAGACTTTGTACACACCCTCCACACATTCTGTTCCTAGTTTAATTAATTTTGGCTCCCTTATTCAGGATGATTCAGACTACCATATCCAGCCAAGGCTGGACAGTAACCTGCTACGAGACAACACAGTGCTTCCCTTTCAGAATACACTTCATCTGTCACTAAACAGCACAAGTAACTATCTTTCGTGGTTCTATGGACACATACTGATCATTTGATATACCCCACTTCAAAACACTGCAAAGCACTAGCATACCTAAAAAAATGGCTGCCCTAGGAGTTAAGCCAGCAGCAAAGTAGATGGAAGTAAAACAGTTAAATGTTCAAGACTTACCAGACATGAAGGCTTTTTGGACTTGCTTCCTTCGTGCAGCACTGAGCCCAGCATGGTAAGGTTCAGCATTCCATGACAACATACGACCCACCCTATTGCTCTCAGGCCTTTTATGGTCCTGCCAAATTGATGTAAATGTACATGTAAATAAGCACCATGTCATGATGGTGCATAAGGAGTGAAGGTAACACTCCACACCGTCCACACTTTGATATTTGATACAGGTCAGCAGTCAGCTTCACATCTATAGAGGTAGAGGTGGAAGGTAAAGCTCTACACAATCACACATTCTGAACTTCAGCAGTAGATGGAGGTGGGTTGTCACCTTCATACTCCACCTGCTTTAATCTAGACAAATTGCTCCTAGTAACCAGTAGAAAGGAGTGGACCCCAAAACCAGCTATATGAGGTACTTCACCCACCCAACCTCCAAAAAACCCTCCTGCTGCCATTAATTAAAAAACTGGCTGCAGCTTGTTAAATAACATATCCTTGTATTTCAAGTTAATAATACTGGAGGAGAGGTCAATATTCTGGGAGGTCACAGTGTTAGTCATTCTAAGTAAAAAAGTGTATATATATGCGTCTTATTCCAAATGGTTTCCGAGAGTGAGCCATTTCACTGTACAATTCCAAAACTGTTGATAAGAAGGAGATATTACATACTGTTTCTAATACTTGTATTTATTGTTCAAGTGACAAGGTTGGTACAGTTTACCTAGCATAATACATTTTCGAAAATTCCACCATAAACATCAATGCACTTTGCAACTTGTGTGACAACATGGCGTGTTGCTCATCCGAGTGTATCTTGACATTCCTTTATGGGGGGGATAACATCCATCTGATGGAGTTCGTCTTGTATATCCTCTTTACTTCTGCACGCTTTACTCTTCATCCAACCCCATAAACAAAAATCTAATGAGGTTAGGCCTGGAGATCTTGGTGGCCAGTTAACGGTAAACCTGAGTTGATGTAAATAACTTTAAACTTCAGCCTGAATATCATTTCTTTAGTTGGTGCTATCATAACTACTTTAGAACCCTCTCTGAAACTGGCCAAACATAAGTCTTCTCAATTTGGTCTCAATTATATTATTACTATTTGAATTATTAGTAAAATTGTCACCACAGTCTTCATCACTATTGTCCATAGAGTAGTCAGACAAAAAGTTTCCATACAATTCTTCCCAAATATCACTTTCATTATCAAGAAGTTGGTAAACATACTTGCCTTTGTTCTCTGTCATGTTGGAAACTGATGGAATTTTAAGTTTATAAAACAAGGTTGTTATTCAAGGATAAAACAAGGTTGTATTTTAGTGTCCTGTTGCACTGATTCATATCCATAATGTACATATATTAACCGTCTTTTAGTGCATACAATCTCACTCATCACTTCACACTACATGTTTCGGCATCATTCTGCCATCCTCAGGTGTATTAATCACGTTGAACCATTGCACTGCTTGCCATCAAGTGTCCATTTATAAAATGATATAAAATGTGTTCGTTTTGTTCATTAATAAAATTTCATTTTATAAATGGACACTTGATGGCAAGCAGTGCAATGGTTCAACGTGATTAATACACCTGAGGATGGCAGAATGATGCCGAAACATGTAGTGTGAAGTGATGAGTGAGATTGTATGCACTAAAAGACAGTTAATATATGCACATTATGGATAAGGATAGAACAATTACATCAGATGAAATGCCAATATGAGAATATAATCTTTAGTGCCTAAACCATATATTCAACCAATTCTGAAGGTCAAGTGCAAATAAATAACAGTTGCTGCTACGAAAAGTACCCCCATACAAAACACAAAACTGTCATACTCAATCCACAATGAAGAGTGAATGAAGCTAAAAAGTTCCCATGACAGGGATACAATTTGTTAAGTGGCTAGTTACACATCCAGGTTCCTCCTACCTGAAGGCAGGTTCTGATGAGACGCGCAAGCCTCTCACATTCTTCACGTCGAGTGCAGTAGATGATGATAGACTGACACGACTTGAACCTTTTCCCCTGTAATAATGAGACTAGAGCCTGGTCCCTGAATTCATCTCGAGATACTGACAGAATCAGGTTGTCAGGCAAAGGTACACCTTTGATTATACCCTGTTGCCCATCTGGAATATTGAGATGTGTCACAATACTGGCACAAGTTGCTTTAGTGGCTGTTGCCGTCAAACCTAGCACTGTCTTCACTCCCAGTTTCTCCCGTAGCACCTGCACCACATGAGACATAAAGCTAAACACTTTAAACGATGGCAAGATTTCGAAAAGACAATGATAAACAATTCATACATGAACCAACTTGGGCAATGTCCTTCTTGAAAAGCCAACAACTGCTTATTTAATCGTGAAATTCCCCACCTCTTATGGATCCCAAAGATTTACTCCTATGTTCATAACAGCCCATAACTGGTCCTATCCTGAGCCAGAGTAGTTCAATCTACCCCTTCACATCCTATTAATTTTTAGATCCTGCACCAATTCCTAGGCCTCCCCAAATGGCCTCTTCCACTTCTAATTAATTACTTTCTATATGTCACAGCACAACACATAAGGCTTCAAGATTTCCATTCTGAATCAAACAGGGCAAGCAATACCAACCTTGCATAACACAAGATAAGAAGGGCGGAAATTGTGTGACCACTGTGAAACACAATGTGCTTCATCAATACAAGCAAAGGCAATTCCAGGTAGTTCTTTTAATATTCTGCCAAACCCTGTGGTCCTCTCTCCAGATACAACTGCCTCTGGAGAAACTAACAAGATATTTAATCTTCCAGACTTTGCCAACTCCATCACCTTCTGCTGCTGCATTTGAGTTTGGTTGGTGTGCAAGCAAGCAACCTGAAGACAAGACGCAACTCCAGTCACCTAGAGCAGAAGAAGAATTACTGTATAATCAACAGATGTGTGCAGGTGTGCAATGTCTAACCAGGCTGGACTTACTTCCAGGACACTTTCTTGATCCATTTCAAATGTTCAGAATTTTTATGTATGAGTTCACCCAAATTGGCATGAACCAGCTATAGAACACATCTGCCTGTATGTACCCAAGAACCGATATTGCAGGTCAGTAATATTTTTTATTTAATTTGACGTGATGTCAATCCATTTCTTGTGCTTGATGAAATGTTAAATTTTGAGATGTCTGTGCACAGTACCTGTTTATAGTCTTTCGTAACATTTCAAATAGTAAAAGATCATATCTGCAACTTCCTGTACACATGTGGTATCATTTGGAAACACACACTCTCAATTCTAGGACTGACAAATGCCATAGGAGGGCTACCATTCATTGGTGGCAAGTATATTTCAGCTTCACTTGAAACGCAAGGGTTAACATATTTAAGTGGTAGTTTTGGGATCCTAAATCACATATGCACACTGGTGTAATCTGATCAGTGATATCAAGCACAGTGACTGAGAACTGCTTGCAACAGGTAAAATAAGAAAGCAATCTTCATATTTTGAGGATTGTAGAGCAACATAAATTTTTATCTCCTCTGCAATAACTTCACTCTCCTGCAGGTCTCCTCATTTAACCAAGTTCGCATGCCACATGCAGTCAGGATTGTCTCACAGCGATTCACAACCATCCTCGAATGTGTGATGCTATTCAGACATCTAAGACTAGGCACTATCTGTTTGTCATACACTGTCTAAAGCATCTGCAGCATTCCTGCTGCCAGCAAAATTTGAAAATGCTCCATTGTAGGAAGCCATTACTTCCCGATATTGGAACACTGTGTTTTCCTCATGGATCTTTTCAAGACCACTAATATGACACCAACTGTGCACTATGCTCTCCAAATGACCTACCAAATCTGCTAGTATAATGGTGACTGAACACTTTCAGTGTGTAGAGGGAATGCATGTCTTGACATGAACATGAAATCTCGAGCTTACATATCACATTGTTACTGAATTTATTTCTAAATTTAGAAGCTACCATGTATACTGTCATATAAATAGACGTATATTTTCAACTGGGATTGTTTCTACATCTACTTTATGTGCATATTCAAATCTATAGAAGACTGACAAACCTGATCTTCCATGAGGGAGACAAGTGGAGATACAACCAGTGTTATACATTTGCTCCTCTGAGCAAACATGTATGCAGGAAGCTGATAACAGAGACTCTTGCCTGCACCAGTGGACAGTGTAACAAGAGTCGATAACCCTGAGAGGATGCGCATCACAGCTTCCTCCTGACCTGGACGGAATCCATCATGGCCGAACCGTTCCAGTGCTTCATACACTTCAGGCGGAGTGTCTTGAAATCAAATATACACAATACACAGTAATTATGGATGTGCCCATTGTTTTCTAGAATCAATCCAATACTGTTCTGCAAGAGTGACTAATTCATTCACAGACTGTAAACCTAAAGTTCCCACAATGAAAATACTACAGCTCATCACTGTATACAATCCTGGACAAGTTCAATTCACTCCTCTACCACATGAAGTACTTCCTTAAAATCCCTCTTAATGTTATCTTTAAATCTCCTTCCCATTTTTCCAAGAGGCATTCCACACCAAAATTCTGCACACATCAGAAGTCCCATCCAAGATATTTTCCAGCTCACCACAGCCTCCTAAATTTTATTAAACTATTAACACTAAACAGCCTCAAAATAAACATGGTCATTGTCTTAGATACACAACATTTCAAGAATTAGCTCTACTTCCATTTTCATGTGACTGAATGCTACTATACTGATTGATATTTACAACTTCTTTATTTGACTGTCACAACACAGCAAATATAGAACTTCAAGGACAATGTTCAGTTATAGTTCTGCTACATGTTTCAGCCAACAAGTGGCCATCATCAGGCTAACACACTTCAACAAACGTACACCATTGAACTGCAGTATGTAAAATTTGATACAATGTTATAAATCATTTAAGATAATTTGCACAAGAATACAGTAAGTAGGTTATTTAAACCAATAACAAATTATATATAAAAACAGATTAAAATCTGATTGATGTTTAATAACATCGAATCGGTCGTTGGTTTTACTTTTCATACATTTCTGTTGACGAATAGTAAATTCGAGTTTCTTATAAAATTATGTAGGAGGTCCAATAACGTTGTGAATAATGGAATAGTTGGAGCCTCATCATATGGAGAATAGTACGTATTGTATGGAAAGTAATCAAGTAATGAAGTGTGTTTGCCTGATGATGGCCACTCGTTGGCTGAAACATGTAGCAGAACTATAACTGAACATTGTCCTTGAAGTTCTATATTTGCTGTGTTGTGACGGTCAAATAAAGAGGTTGTATATATTGTAACACAGTAGGATGCATGAAATGAAAATGATTGATATTTGCTGCTGTTGTTTGTATTTTCACCATTA